CCGATGTTAGACTGGGCACTCTGGAGAGGGGTCATCACTGCAGGGATGGCTCTGGGCAAGTTAAACCATGTGTCTGTCTGTCCCATCAGACACAGGGGCCGTGTCTGGGGCTTGGTGCAATGGGCAGGGCATGGTGGAAGGTGATGGCGACCTAGAGCTGGTGCTGATCCGGGGTCTCAGGCCCTGTTGCTGGGGGGTATGTGGGGCCGGCAGGGCACCGGGAGACTCGAGCCAGAAGGTGACCAAGACGGGTCACAAAGACGATGCTTTTGTGCATTCGGCTTAGCTGGAGCCCAGCCACAGTGCCTGCCAGGGCCCCAGCTTCCTTGCCGGCCATGTGTGGGTTTGTGAGGCACCTGAGGCATCTCAGCCCGGCCCCCGTGAGGAATCGTACCGGCTGGATGTGCAGGCGAGCTTGGTCCCGTCTTAGGCCTGGCTTGGGGTGGAATGTTTGAGATCCAGCGTGGAGTGTCAGGAGGAGGAATCGGCAGGCTGTGGACTATATGTGCGGAGGGTTTGCCACCTAAAGGCCAGCGATGTGGCATGGGGCAGAGGACAGACAGCAGTCCGAGCCCAGCGTGCATGAGGGTCCTGGCTTCCTCCAGGAGGGCCCTGGCTGTGAGGCAGGGTGGGCCTGAGTCAGCACAGCAGACTCAGAGAGCCCACCTGCCCGCCCTGCCCCTCAGCAGAGCCCTGCAGTGGCCGCGCCTCCACGGTGCCACGTTTCAGCGCAGCAGTCGGTCCCAGGCTGGTGGAGCGCACCACAGCGGACACTGCGGCAGACGGCAAGCCCCAGCCACCAGCCCTCCCAGCCTGGTGTGCAGTTCCTTCTGTGCCCTGGACCTAGATATCCTGCTTCGCTGTGCTGCTGTTCATCTGGGGTGGGCTCAGAGATGCAGAGCCAATGAAAGTCCGTGTTTGTGAGGTTCTGGAGGAGAAGGGCACTCGCAGCAGAGCCGCTGCGTAACCAGCTTCAGCTTGACTTGGGCTGAGCAAAGGCAGAGCCGCCCTGGGCTCGCCATGTGGAGAGGTTGCAGGTTGACGTCCTGCGACTCAGGAACTGAGGCTGGGCAAGCACAGGCAGTGGGGAGCAAAGGCCGCAGGGCCTGTGCTGCTTGGGTTAGGGCCCCGGACACCCCCACCCCCACCTTCCATGGCTACACTGAGTCGCGGCGTCCTTGAGGCCCATCGCTGGTGAATGAAGGAACTGGATACGCACTCAGTTGCTCGTATTCCGGAGGCCATGCGCTCCCTGCACTCCCGCAGTTTCTTTCCTCGGGTCTCTCTCCCTCTTCCCCTGGCATTTAAAATTGCAGTGCGGTGTCCTTTAAAATAACTGCTAGCTTAGGATGCGTTCGATTTACATTTTCATGCTTTCTGTATACCAGCCTTCTGCTGGTCTCTTCCAGTTTGCTCTACTCTCAGGAAGGAAGAGAGAGGTGGCCTCGGGCAGGGCCACCCAGGTCTGACCCACCACACTGTTCCCTGTCGGTGTCCACCACGCTCTCTAGAGGGGCAGGGCCAGGGGGTCTTGGTCCCTTCCCTGTTGCTCACAGCTGGAGCACAGAGAGGATGCTCACCTGAGGCAGAGAAGCTGCACTTTTCCAGGCCACGCCCCCAGTGGCTCTCTGAGGCTCCCCTGGAACCCAAGCGAGCTGCAGCACCCCACAGTCTCCTCCACACACTCGCCTTGGCCCCTGCGGCTGTGCCCGTCCCTGCACACTCAGTGGCGTGGGCCACCCTGGTGCCTTATCCGAGGGTGCCCACAGCTGCAAACCTTGCTGTGCAGGAGTCACAGGAGGAAAAGCAGCCGACTGCCCCAAGGCCCGCCGCAGGGAGCAGACAGCTGTTTTGTTCCATCTAAGCCCGTGACCTTGGGAGAACCTTGCTTTACCGACTGATGCTTCCTGTCCTCACAGCCTGTGCAGAAAAACCTGCATCACAGGATCCTGTCTGCCGCCATCCCAGGGCACTGGGCAGTCCTGGAGTCATGGGCTTGGTCAGCACCGCGCATGGCAGGTGGACCATGTACCTTGCAAACTCCAGGTGGGAGTCTCATGTGGCCGAGCCTTAACCCAACCCCTGTGCCAGGACAGATGGACAGACAGACGGGGTTCACCGCTTCTTTCCCACACAGTCTGCAAGCTGGTGGTGTGGACACAGCTGTCCCCCAGGCCAGGCCTCGAGCCCAGTGTGGATCTGCACATGGGGCACTCCCGGGAGTGACCAGAGCTATAAGAGATAACAAAGGTGCAGCCCCCGTGGGGACCTCTGTCTCCCTGTCCCCACCCTGTCCCCTCCAGCCCAGGGACCAGAGAGGCCCACACCTGAAGCCAGGGCCAGCGAGATCCACCTGGGGCAGTAGCCCAGTCCGGATGGGTCTCCTGCGTGAGGTGTGCAGGGCCCGGGGATCCTCGGCACTGGCTGTCCCCATGCATATTGGGACAGCAGCTGGGCCCCTGCATGGTGAGGCCTCAGAAGGTCAGAGCCAAGAAGCCCCCTCAACGGGGACAGGCTGAGCGGTGCAGGGGGCTGTGTGAGATGAGGCACCTCCACCCTGGCTGTTATCTTCTGGGTCTTCTCTTCAACAAAGCGGAGTCCCGCAGTAAGAGAGAGAGAGCACCTGTAGTCTCTCACCACTTTGGTGGCGGCCATTTGGGGACTGCAGAAGGTGGAAGGACACAAGATGGGGACAGGCTGCCTTAAATAAGCACACAGCGGAGGAGTGATTTGCATACAGAACAGAACTTACATAAACTCCAGACTTCCAGGAGAGAAGCTGGTGGGTGGGAGCTGCCTTCTGTGCCTAAGGGGAACCTTGACTTGCCTGAGGTCAGAGGTCAGAGGTGAAACGGTGGCCGGAAGGGACAGGAGGGTTGGGAGAAGATTCGCTGCCTTCAGTACCCTGACTTAAATCAGCCATTTCTCTTAGCCAGAATGTCGGGGTCCAGGTCCCCACAGCAGGAGGAGCTCAGCAGAACCCCCACATGCCAGCCACCTGCTCACAGGGTACGCTGCTTAGTGCCCTGGTACCCACCCACACCCCAGCTCTCGTGCTAAGCAGTGTTTGTGCCCCCAGTTCACAGCAGAGCACTGGACATCACAGGGGGTACCTTGCCTGTTTGCTGATGATCTGCCCTACAAGTGGGGTTCGCAGAGCTCTCTGGGTGTCTACCCCAGGGCCCCCAGTTCCTCCCTGGCAAGGAGCCCCTGCAGGCACTAAAGCTCAGTGCCATGCACAGAAGCAGCACAGGGCCAGGTCTGGGCCGGGCTCAAAGCCCAGGAGGAGCACACTCGCCCTCCCTGCTGCCGGGCCCAGTGCGCTGCACAGACCAGAGAGCACTGTGCAGGCTGCAAGGGTAGGGCAGCATGGTCCCGGCTCCCAGGAGGGTGCTCACGCTGGGCCGGTGTGGAGGCCCCGGTTTCAGCAGACCCTGAAGAGGCGGCTCTGGGCCCCCAGCAGTCAGGACAGCTGAGCAGTTGGGAGTCGCAGCTGTGTTGGGAACAAGGCCCTTTTCGCCGTGGTCTGCAGGGAAAATCCCTCCACCTGGGCGGCCCGGGTGCGAGTTCTGACCCTGCACTCTGGTGTGTGATGTGGAGAGACACACCCACTTTCCGTGCCTCAGTTTCCCGTCTAGGTGGCAGGGTTCTCCCTGTGATGGTAGCGCTTTTTCTGGGAAACCTCAAGACAGTCCCTGCTCCCTCTCCCTCCCTCTCCCTCCCTCTCCCTCTCTCTCCCTCTCTC